AAAAGGTCTGGCAAGATGTCCAGAAGAGAAACGAATGAATAATTAACGTTGCATGAGCTTGTGAAAAACCCTGGTAAGATGTCCAGAAGAAAAGAATGAATGAGTAATTGACTTTGAACAGGCTGAGAAAGATCTGGCAAGATGTCCAGAAGAAAAGAATGGATGAGTAATTGACTTTGCGCAGGCTTGAGAAAAGGTCTGGCAAGATGTCCATCAAAAAAAAAATGGGTGAGAAATTGACGTTGCATGAGCTTGAGAAAAGGCCTGACAAGGTGTCCAACTGAGGAAAAGATGTGTGAATGACTCCTCATGAGTTAGAGAAGAGACCTGGCAAGATGTCCAGGAAAGAAATGAATGAGTATTTGACCTAGCATAGGCTTGAGAAAAGGCCTGACAGGATGTTCAGAAAAGAAAGATATATGAAATTGGCTTTGCGTAGACCTAAGGAAAAGTCTGGCAAGACACCCAGAAAAGAGATACAGGTATAATGGACTTTGCATGAATATGAAAGAGGTCTGGCAAGAGGCCAGAAGAAAGATGTGAATAAGAGGGACTGAGTAACGCGCATTTTAAAGCCTGGATACGAGAAAGGACGAATGAGGATGATGCACATAAGCTGGGCAAAATGACATGGGAAAAATACATGGGAACTGGCTAAGCATGAGACTGAGGAAAGAATGACGAGATAACATGGATTGCACGGGCCGAAAAGTGGATTATTTTTTTATGCCCTTAAGAGTAATGAATGAGGTGAAAACCAAAATGGTTTCTGCTCGATAATGTTTTCTCAATGAAATGGGAAGATAGATTTGAGATTACGAAGCACTTAAGGGGAGTTGTGCGGGCTCACTGATTTGAAGTGGGTATCACCACAGCAAAGGCGGTGGTTGTACTTGACGAACATCTCCCTCTCGGAGCAAATGCCTGACATTGAGTCGCATCCGAAAACTTGCCTACAATTTGTTATCAACAAAGCCAAGGCATAGAATGAGAAAACGAATTGTGTTATGACAAAAAATTGTCATCCTGGGAATAAAACCAGCATACCAGTAGTTAAGTGCATGAAGCGAGGAGAGCCCCGTCTGCTTCATGTTACTGAAGTTGAAAGAATTATGGGCTGCCCTGCTGGGTATACAGAGTTGACTGAAGAGGAAGTTTGCATCTCAATTGAGGGAAAGATAAATGGGCAGATATGACGGAAATAAGCAACCTGGTCTAACCTGTAGAACCTTCGACTCCCCCATACCCTCTTCCACCCCAAGGGGCGGAAGCTAAGGAAAACATTGAGAAAGGAATGGGAAAATAACGAAACGGACCCTGGCAAACTAACCATCCATAACATCTCATCCCCCTCTCTCATCTATTCCGTCCAAAACTCACTGACAAGAGATTGGTGCGCGATGAGGACATCGCGAAATAGTGGGGGGAATGTGTCGGGACTGGTGAGTCCCGAATAACTTCCCATCACTCGAAAGACCAAATATGGACGAGCTGTGCACAACAGAGAAATCCGAAGTGAGACGGGATAAAGGATTAGGCCGCAGGAGGGAGTAATGCCCTGGGGCGAGAACCACAGGGGGAAAGAACTAAGCGGCGGCAAGCGAGCGAGAGCGCAGAACAGGGGCACATAGAACATAGCAGGAGGCCGGGAGGGCCATCGGAATGGAATAAGACTAAGGCCAAAGGGCCCTTTGAACTAGCAATTGCAGTGCGACAGCAATAAGGGAATGAGGAAATCAAGGGATGGGCAAGCAGAAACCGCGGGAAGCCAGGAAATGAGGGGTCAACGTGGGGGCCACCTACGGCAGCCTCGGAGCGGAGGCCCACGACCAAAGAGAGCGGCACGCACAAGGCGCGAGGAAAGACTAAGGAGAGGAGTCGCTATGGGGCGACAAGACGCCCAAGGGGCATGGGATACCTCGGGGAAAGGCACCCGAGGCCACGTGGGACCAAGTAAAAATAATGGTGTCCGGGGCGAAATGTGTCGGGGACCGCCGACGGGACTAAGTGTCGGGGACCACCGGCGGGACTAAGTGTCAGGGACCACCGACGACACTAAGTGTCGGGGACCACCGACGGAACAAGTGGCGGGGACATGTGAAAGTCCCAAGAAGAAACGGCGGCACCGCATGAGGGAAAAATAATAAATGCAAGGTGCACCGTCAAGATCGACATCTTGACGGCCAAGAATATTAGCACCACTAACCCAAGTACAAGTGGTGACAAACGAAAAGGCCAAAAGGAAAGAGAAAAGTAAAGAAAACTGAAGTAGGAGGCATGGGAGCAATCCGAAAAATCTCGGATCAGCCTCCCTCAAGAAAATAGAGTCAAACAAGCCCCTATGTGAAAAATAGCCCTCCGGGAGAAAATCGAAGTAGGAGGGACCATTGTGGGAGAAATGTAGGAGTAAAAGAAGGCTCCCATGGGCATGGGAAGGCCATTATTGCAGTCCGAGAAATAACGGACTGCACCTTGGGCATAGGGAGGGCCAAAACTAAGAGGAAGAGGTTAGAAAAGGGCCTTCACGACCACTTGACACTTGACATGCTAGAAAAAAAGAGAAAAAAGAAAAGAAAATGGGGGAGAATAAGATAAAAAAAGTGAGAGGGAGTGAGTGAGTTGGCCGTCAGTAGGGACTGCCATAGGTAGGGACTGGCAGGTCCCTACTGTCCAAGAAAGGAGGAGAAAATAAAAGAAAAGAAAAGAGAAAAAGACCTTAACGGTAAAAAACGGTCACTTGGGGAGATTCATCCGTGACCAGAGTCATTCTGGAATATGGCGGTTACAAAGGACTTTGATTTTCTTTGATTTTTGCAGAGAAAATCAAAGAAAATCAAGGCCTCTTGCAACCGAAATAAAACGGAATACATGCATGAGGAGAAACACATGTTTTAGGTGCATCCGGAGCCAAAATCAAGGCTGGATGCACTCGGGAATTTGTCGTTTCTTTTTCTTTTGAATAAGGGTTAGTTGTGGGGCATTGGGGCTAAGGAATCGACCCTCATTGCAGTCCGAGTTGCAACGGACTGCATGGGGGAGAGAAAACACATGTTTAGGTGCCTCCGGAGCCAATATTGATCCCGGATGCACTAGAAAATTTAACGCTTCATTTTCTTTTAACATGGGGCAAGTTGTGGGCTGTGGGTGTAGAAAACAACCATGACTGCAGTCCGAGAAATTACGGACTGCATGGGGATGCCAAGGCCAAAGGGGAATGGGCTACGGCAAACCCGGAAGGCTAGAAAGGAGCAATTTCGGCAACGGGCAAGTAAAGACGGTAAACGGCAACCGTGAGATGAGATCTCACGGCCTAGAAAAATCGGCACACATGTAGAAATGATGGGACCACCAAGGGCAATGGGCCCCAAAAAAATAAAAATGGGATGCCGTTCGGAATGTTGTCGGGGACCAAATGGTTCCAAATAATAAAAATTGGAAAACGGGACACACGCCGGCGGAACCGCCGGCGGGACAAAGCAATGGAGCTAATATGTAGGAAAATGGCAGGAACTTGGGATGTCCCGAGGGAACCATGAGCAAACACAAGGAATAATTGTGCAAGCAAACGGCACCGTCGAGATCGAGGATCTAGATGATGGAAAATATCAGCACCACTAGTGCAAGCACTAATGGGAACAAGTAGGAGAGTCATGGGAGAAAGAAAAGTGAAATAAGGATGTTGGGAAGGCTGCCTAGCAGTCCGTGATCTCTCGGACTAGCAAGGCATAAGAAAATAGAGCCTTGAAAGGCTCAACATGAGAAAAAGGCTGCCCTTAGAAAATCGGAGCTAAAAGGGCTCAAAATTGGGCAAACGGGAGCAAAATGGAGCCCCATAGAAACATGGGGGTGCCATTACTGGAATCCGAGATGTAACGGCCAAGTAACAACCATGAACCTGGCCTTGAATGAGGCCCTAGGGCCTAGAAAGAGGGTGCACAACAGAAAAAAAAAAAAAATAAAAAAAAATGAGAGAAAAATGAGTGAGAATGAGACAAAAAGGGAGAAAAGAGTACAGGAGAGTGTGTCGGCCTATTGGGACCTGCACAGTAGGGACTGGCAGATCCCAACAGGGACCTCATCCCTCCTAGAATAAGGGAGGGCAATCCGGATTGAAGAGATATGGCCATATCTCAATAAAATCCGAATTAAAAAGCAGAAAATGAGAGAAAAGGCAAAAAGGAAGTGGCCGGATTGCTTTCTGACCATGGATCTGAGATCAGATCTCATAGTGGAGAGGAACTAGCCGTTTTTTGTGGGCCAGCTTAAAATAGCTAGCTCCGAAATGAGGTGGCAGTCCAAAATGAAAAGAAACAAAAGAGGGAAAAAACCAAAACTGTGCATTTGACCCAAAAAGAGAGCCAGATGCACCAAAAATTGAAAAAGTAGACTTAGGGGCTCAAAATTGAAGCAAGGGCTACTAGGGGGTAGCTCGGATTATTGCTGGCCTTGGATCTCAGCCAGATCCAAGGCTGAAAATGTGCCGCTACATGGAAAAATGCTCCGACCTACCCAAGGGAGGCCGAAACTTGAAAAAATCGAGAAAAAGACTCACAAGGTCTTTTTCTCTCAAGTATTGCTGCCCCTTGGGCATTAGGACCCTAGGGGGCAGCATTTGAGCAATGAAAAAGAGGCCGGAGTAGGCCAAAAGGCAATCCGAGTTGGTACCAACCACTCGGACTGCATGTACTTGGCCAAAATGAGGCCCAAGTACCTCCAAAAGGGCCTAGTAGGGGAATTTGGCCTTGGGGGTACCTCGGCTCACCCCAAGGCACTTGGAGAGGCTCATGGGTTGGCCGGACTGCTGGTTTCAGCCTACATAAGCTGAGGATGGAGTCCGCCACTCTCACATTTGCATGGGGAGTGTCCATGCTGCCCACGTGAGCTCACAGGAGCACCTTTGCACTTGGAGTGAGGAGGGAGGAGCCCATGCTAGTGGGAAAACTTAGAGGAGACCAGGAGGTAGTGGGGAGGACTTTAGAGGATAGTGATGGTAGGAGAGACACTTGGGATGTGATCCGCCGTATCCCTCCTGGGTGTAGGAGAGGAGAAGCTAAAGGAGCCCCATTAGCCCTCCTAGAAGGGAGGACTCCATAACCATAACTGGGGGAGCTTGCCATAGCCTGAGGGAGAGCAAGGAAGGAGGAGAGAAGGGCTTGGAGAAGAAGGAAACCATAGCCAAGAGGGGATTGTGCAAGGAAAGGAAGCTTCATCAAGAGGACACCAACATCAAGGAATCAACAAGGTGAGAGGAAGGAAGAGGCTTCTTCACCTTCATCTTCTTCCTCTTCTTCTTCTTCTTCTTCTTCTTCTTCTTTTCTTCCTCTTTTTCTTCTTCTTCCTCTCCTCCTTCTTCTTCCTCTTCCTCCTCCTCACTCCCTCCTTCTTCCTTCTCTCCTCTCCCCTCTTCATCTCCTCCTTCCTCCTCTTCACTTCCATTCTCTTTGCCTTCCTCCTCTTCTTCTCCATCTCCATCTCCATCATCTCTCTCCCCTTCTCCTCCATTTTCTCTTACTTCATCTTCTCTCTTCCATGGGCTACTCCAACTCTCCTTTTTCACTTATACACTAGGAAGTAGTACTCCGATTCTTTCCTAGATGCTTCTTGATGCAATCTTGGTGATTGGGGCTCTCCAAACTTGTGTTTTTCACACTCACACTAGTAGGTAGTGTAACACTTCACCCATGAGTGATTCTTAATGCAAACTTGGTGATTTTGGCTCTCCAAACTTGTGTTTCTCACACTTATACTAATAGGTAGTATAGCGCTTCACCCATAAGTGATGCATGATACAATCTTGGTGATTTGGGTTCTCCAAACTTGTGTTTTTCACACTCACACTAGTAGGTAGTACAGCGCTTCACCCATGAGTGATCCATGATACAATCTTGGTGATTAGGGTTCTC